CCACCCAGACTGCGCTCCGTCATTTAAAACACAGGACGTTTAGGACACATAAAAACCAAAAGGTTCATTCAAGTCAATGCGTGGAATTAACAAGCGGGTTTCTTTGGGAGCTGGGGAATTCATTGTGATGGAAATTCGGTTGAGATTAAGGAGCGTGCTATCAGTCAAACAAAAAAAGTGTTTGAAGAAATTTGAAATAAACTCCTTTTATATTCTTGTTATTGCAAGTTATTTCATAAAAGGTCATATTTTACCCCAAAACCAAAAAAGAAAAATTAAGGGACTGCTAATTGCTTGAAAATAATCTCTTCATAAAAAGAATAAACATTTTAACAGTACTAAAAATAGGCTTAATTTTCTTAATGCAAATTTTTTTTTTTAAATCTATTTCACATTATAGTTTTTATTATAGACTCTTATAAATAAGGGTTCTTTATTAGCATTCATGGTTCCATAAAGAACTTTTAACATCCATGCAAACTTTCCATTGCATAAATGGTGCTTAATAGAGGAAAATTATTATTAATAATTATTAAATTATTAAATTAATAAAATATTATTCAGACTAAGAAAAAATATTATTTTAAGAACTGATTAGAATAGACCATTTTACGGCCACCGTTGTCTCGATGAACAATACATGCTGCATCTGCCGAATGGAGTCTGACTAATCTGACTAAAACATTTAGGGCTAAAAAAAGCAGTTATGTCATTCTCTGGTGAGTCCACATAAGGGTCGGGATGGAGTAAAGTGATCTGCCAGAAGAAACAACAAATCAGAAAGACCACAAAAAGAAATCAGGCTTCACTGGGCAGAAGCTCTTAAGATCAGTGGGGGATCTCAGGGGTTTTATACTGAAGATAACTGTAATTGAAAGTACTGATTTTGAGGTCATTTTATTTATAGTCACACATATAAATATATTAAGCATAATAAAATACATTATAATATGATACAGTTGTTCTAATTACCATTCATTTTCTTCAGCCTACTAGTAGTCCTTCCATAAATAGCTATTACATCATGAATATGACACAACACCATTCTTTTTATATCCACTAATGTATAAGTCAAATGTACAAATTCTTCAGGATCAAAATCTGGAAAAGGTATTTTTGGTTTTCTTTTGCTGTCCTTGCAACCTAAACCCCTTCTTTGACTTTTAATATTCCATAATGCATGTTATATTTAGAATATGTAAGGCTAATCATCTTTCTAAGGCAGCTAATGCATCTAACTGTCCTATTAACTGCATCTACAGTAACTGTTCTTTGTCTAAATGTATTTACTTTTTGTGTTATTGGCTCCAGAGTGCTTTACATGACAGCAGTGCATTATAATTAGTTCAGTGAGAACTGTATATAGCCAATGTATTAAATCCAGACTTAAACATGATTAAAATGCATGTTTATAGCTAAAGTGAAAGAAACTTGAAACTGAGAATAAGTCAGTTCAGATTCACTGAATATATGCAATACATTTTTCTAAATTCAGTTTGTATTTCCACATGAATGAAGCATCAACAAGCACTTATTTAAATAATGTTTTATGCATTAAAAAAAGCTAAAACAACCTCAAAAACCAAAAAACAAGCTAAAATATTACTATTCACAAAAACGGTTCCCTGTACTGTATAGCAATGCCGTTGTATCACAAATCTAGATGTATACTTCACATAACCCATATTTGTAAAAAAAAAAGTATGTACTAGACTGTAAGTATAGTATGATGAAATATGAAAAATATGACCAACAAAAAGCATTTTGACTATAATATTACAATATGTCTAGCTGTATTTCACACATAAGATCACTAAGCCCTACTGTGAAGTCATTTTGTTAGAAATACTCTTGCGCCGATCTGAGTCATGCTCAAATGAACACATAATATTTGTCCCTAATTGAATGGGATGTCAGAGGAGGGGGTTCGGTGAAGAAAGTGACATTTTGGGAAAGGAGAATCACGTAGAGGAGAAAGACTTAATGAGGGAGAGACTTTCCACCCTCCCAAGAGGATATGACCTTTTCTCCTTCCCTACAATGGGTCCATCACATTTATTAGGCTACTGTTGATATGTGGGCTGTGGAGACACAACGTCTAGCCACCCAGACTGCGCTCCGTCATTTAAAACACAGGACGTTTAGGACACATAAAAACCAAAAGGTTCATTCAAGTCAATGCGTGGAATTAACAAGCGGGTTTCTTTGGGAGCTGGGGAATTCATTGTGATGGAAATTCGGTTGAGATTAAGGAGCGTGCTATCAGTCAAACAAAAAAAGTGTTTGAAGAAATTTGAAATAAACTCCTTTTATATTCTTGTTATTGCAAGTTATTTCATAAAAGGTCATATTTTACCCCAAAACCAAAAAAGAAAAATTAAGGGACTGCTAATTGCTTGAAAATAATCTCTTCATAAAAAGAATAAACATTTTAACAGTACTAAAAATAGGCTTAATTTTCTTAATGCAAATTTTTTTTTTTAAATCTATTTCACATTATAGTTTTTATTATAGACTCTTATAAATAAGGGTTCTTTATTAGCATTCATGGTTCCATAAAGAACTTTTAACATCCATGCAAACTTTCCATTGCATAAATGGTGCTTAATAGAGGAAAATTATTATTAATAATTATTAAATTATTAAATTAATAAAATATTATTCAGACTAAGAAAAAATGTTATTTTAAGAACTGATTACCGTAAGGTTCTTTGTGGAAATCAAAATGGTTCTTCTATGGCATTGCCGAGAAAACCCCCTTTGGAAACCTTTATTTTTAAGAGTGTATATAACTTTAATTGTATGTATATATAGAGAGAGAGATTCATTCATCCACTGAATACTGTATGTTTTGTTATTAAGAGAAACTCAAACTTATCAGAGTCAAGGAGGTCTAACATCTCAGTAGTTGTACTGTACTTAACTTACTCCACATGGCCTTAATCAATGTTTTGTCTTTTGAAAATTCTGCCCGTTACTGAATGTGATTTATTTCCATCGGCTATTACAGCTTCAAAAGTGGCCACTTTAATCCTCTGAGGGCCACAAATGAATAAGACACAAGCAGTCATCATCTTTGTTACTGAAGTTCCTGACCGTATTTCTTAATGAGCCCGCAAATAGCATGTCCATCTGCTCTGTCTGTGCCTCAAGTGAACACAGGATCTTTTACTTTCTAGCCTATTCAGTTGCATTTAACTGAGACCATTATCGCATACCCTAGAAAATCATGCATTGCTCTGCTTGTGAGACTCTGACAGACATCAAAGGTCACAGGTAGACATTTTGCTTACTGGCATGAAAGGTAAAAAATTTAGTAATGAGAGTATCACGATGATTTCTCCTATGGTAAAAATAACGTATATCAGTGCAACGGTTCAAAGAAAGGTTAGCCAACATGAAAAGTAAAAGCTATGGTTTCCAAAAGAGATAAACCCTCCAACTGGCACCTGCATTTCAGAAGTAAAAAATGATCAGCAGGAAACTGTTTAAAGTTGGCATTAAAATAAAAATTCACCCTATATATTTTCTAAATGCACGTTATCGGTCTTATTGTGAACGATTCATTCATGCATGTTTTAATTTTCGGAATTTTTTTATTAAAATGTCATAACTCGATTTTCCAGTGAAATGACAGACTTCTCTCTGGTGATATATTTTGGATTTAGTCTGCTTAAACCCCTCTGTTTTCTTACAAGTCCCTGTCCAACATGTTTCCTTTTCAATGCAAAAAAGATCTGTCGTTACTTCAGTTTCATTGCAATATTAACTTGAGGATACATGTTCCTGGATCCACATCGTTTGTTGTTTCTACACTGAAAAAAAGTTGTAGAAACAATTTTGGTAACACCATACTTAAAGCCTTTGTGTATAATGCACTATTAAGGTATTATTAAAGGGATAGTTCACCCAAAAATGAAAATGTGATGTTTATCTGCTTACCCCCAAGGGCATCCAAGATGTAGGTGACTTTGTTTCTTCAGTAGAACACAAATTATGATTTTTAAGTCCAGCCGTTGCAGTCTATCAGTCGTTTTTTTTTACTCTCATAGATTTTGTTACCATTGCCATGCATTATACGACTGATAGACTGCAACAGCTGGACTTAAAAATCATAATTTGTGTTCTACTGAAGAAACAAAGTCACCTACATCTTGGATGCCCTGGGGGTAAGCAGATAAACATCACATTTTCATTTTTGGGTGAACTATCCCTTTAAGGCATTGTAATGCATTATATCTTTTCACAAATTATTATAACCAAAGTTAAAATGCATTGTAATATTTGAAGGTATGGTTGTAATGTGCCTTTTTGTGTCTTTTTATATTTTCTAAAGCTGTAACAATGAATAGATAAGTATTATAATATATTATACTTTTTAATACAATTATTCATGAAATCATACAATGCAATATAAGGTGTGTTACAAGACACAATTAATGCATTACAACTACTTTTATAATGCATTATATAACAGTGTTACCAAAATTTTCACTCAGGAATTGCTAGTAAATTCACAATTAATTACAATGAAATGGCAAGTAACACATTGAATTAAATATGAAATTTTGAAATAGAAAGACTAAAATTGTACTTTCTTATAAAACATACTCCAATAATCTTTGCAACTTCAGAAAATATTTTTTACGGCGTGTCTAACCAGTAATTGCCCTCTGATTTTATGGTTATGATTGGTTGACAGGCATGACATTTCTGGGAGGTTGAAAGCATTAAGTAAAAATGAATCAAGTTGATTACTGATTGAACTACTTTAATGATCAAAAACATTAGAAGACAAGAAGCTGGGATTAATCTTTTGACTCATTCTTTCTGTCCACTGTATCATTACACCAGCTACTATTGACAAGTAATATAATCAGAGCACTAAATGTAAATTGCCCAACATTAGCCACTGTTTACAAGTGCATGGAAGTGAACAAGAATTATTCATTCACTTAAAAGATTCATTCAGAGAACATTTTACTCACATGTAGTGCAGGTGAGGGTTCTGCGCAAATGCACGTGCCTGGATTGTCCGTAAACTGCAGTTTATTATTGTCCTGAAAAGAGAGAGAGAGAGACTATCATATGTGACCTGTGCTGGCAAAATGAGTTACAATGATAAAAAAAATTAGTTTTCAAAATGATGTATGATTTGTTGGAATAAAAATGAAAAATGACTGAGCTACACCTGTTTGAAATCAATGGAGTCAGCAAAGTAAATTTCGAGAAAAAATGATTTAAAGTTTTCTGAAGGTTCCAAAGCAAAATCACCTAGCAACATTATATCTTTTCCCCCACTTCTTTACTTAATAATCACAACTAGATTAATTATCACAATATTGTCAGACTTTGTTCCTTGTTTTGTGTTTGTTTTGCTCCCCATGTGCCTTCCTTGCCCTTATTTGGTTTTCTTCCTGTTCCTGCTCCCTGATTGTTTTTCATTTGATTCCAGGTGTGTCTCGTCTTACCCTGATTAAGTTGTGTATTTAAAGTGTTTCCTGTTTTGAGTTCCTTGTCCGGTATTGTTC